GACATGTTAGTCCTGTGCAGCAGCTCTTTGTTTTGTCACGCTGCGCTTCTTTAGTTCCTTTGTGGGGAGGCACCTTTCGTGAAGACACAATAATCGGCTGATCGAGCTCGTAGGGAATTGATCTCCCTGACCATGCAGCCGTTTTGTCTTGTAACGTACCGCTCCTTCTCGTTCCGTGACGAGACAAAATGGCTGTGATTGAGAGTGATTGATTGGAAATGCTTTTTGTAGATGATATCTTATGGATGCAAAATATATCACTAAAGCTTCAGGGGAACCAATTCACTCTTGGCTTACCATTTATACCATCAGATTGTCTTTCATTTCCTATAAAGATGTAGTCAAAGTAAAGGTCGCGATATAATCTTTCATGTAAGCGAAAAAAAAAATATGCTGAAGAGGTAACCTTTGCATTTAAAATATTTCGACTGAAAAATCTTTAATTAAATCCGGAAGTGAAAATGATTTTTAAAATCAAATCGTTCTTTAATTAAATCACACGGCACGATTCCTTTTGAAGCCAAACCGCTTCGAGGGAAGACCATTATTAAAAAGGGATTAGAATTCGAGGATTAAAATTGCACCTCGAAAAATTTATATCAATTAGCTAGGAAGATGAATATGATTATAGGATAACTTGATTATCTTTAGCCTGTGTGGAAGGAGTTCGAAATTAGGGAAAGGAAAGGGAGTTTAGGCGCGAGACCGCGCGCGAGGGAGAAGAGAGGAGAGGAAATCGTTCCCCTTCCTCCTTTTTCGCGCGCCCTTAAGTGCTTCTCACGCACCTAAACCATTCCTTCCCTTCCCTTTCGAATGTCTGCCACAGCGGAAAAAGAGGAATATGTGTTTACTCGTAACATTGAGATTCTTGTCAACAAACCTTCCCATTACTTAGATAGCATCTTTGTTATATTTCTTGCATGTCAGTGCAGTTTGCTTTTATGCGTGATTAAAGCTTTCAATAAAAGACAATCAGTCTAACAGTATGTACAAATCTTGTCCATTATTTTTCCTAACAAATAAGATCGAACTCATTATGTTTGCTCCTTAACAGAGATTTTCCCCGTACAGTCTCTCAATATTGATTTCAGTATCCAATGCAGCTATTTGCAGACTTGTCTGTTCGATTGCGTTTATAAATAAAGACGTACCCAGTTATCAGGGTTTCTTAACCTAGATAATGGGAGGGGAGGACGTCACAATAACTTGGGAACCTAAATAACCAGTGCTGTATGCCCCGGTAGGGGAAAACGTGTGAGTATACCCGGTAGGAGATACCCTTACAGCAAGTTAGTCTCAATAAGAATTTCCGTAAAGAGTACAGTTGTCTTTTATTTAGCAAGGCTTTTATTGCTTTGTACGCTTTCGTATACAGTGTACCATAAATTTCACGACTTTATCTTTTTTTCTATATTTTTGATGGTTTCGTAGAAAATACTTACACTTTTATCTTAGTCTGAGCACAACATCGACCACATAGGAGCTCCTCTGATTTTAAATCTAGCTCGGAGGAAACCTAAGGAGGATATACCGATTCAATAAAGTTTGTGGTATAGAATAGGCGCCTTTGCCCAGTATATACGTAATATACCTTAAATAAAGAAGGGAGATTAGCTTAGGCCCGGGGGAGGGGGAGGGGTACTCGAAAAATTTTTATACGGTTCCTAGGGTCCAACTGCTTACCCTTTTATATACCTTTTAGAACTTTGCATTCCTCAGTTTTGTCTGCTGTAAATGTACTGTCATTTGACTGGGAATTAATCACAAAAATAAAACGTTTTCTAAACTTTATAAAGCCATAAAATCCATCTGTTAGCCCTTTGGGCCCTTTAACAGACCCAAATGACAGATTTTCCTACCCTTTCATATACTTCAAAGAGTAAAATCCCTACCCTTTCATATCCCTGAAGCCTGAAAAAGGTATCCCTTTCGGGCGGAGCCACCCCGTATAGGCCATTATAGAGAGTAACACCTCCGGGAGCCTAGGCATCCAGCTGACTTGTTAACCCAAGGCTTCTATCAGTAGAAACACATGTATTACATGGTGATCATTGCATGTAAACCGCCTTTTACAATAACAAGAAGGCGTAACTATCACAGAATCCCATTACTCTGTAGCCTACCCCAGAACTATAGTTTAAGGATCTATAATAAGTAAATTGGACCGTTCTAAATGAACAGAGATAAAAGCAGTTTGCCCATTAAGTCACGTACTTGGTGATGTCATCACTTTTCAGCCCGAGATATAAGTCAAGCCGACAACAAAACTGAATCGTTGGCCAAATTAAATCTTTCGCTAGCATTACCTTTTGGTACCGCTATACTTGAAGACATCATTTTATTTTGTTTCCTAGTGAATAGGTGCACGACTATCTTTCCAAAAGGCGGTAAATAATGGTGGAGATAAACCGCGATGCAATAAGCGTCGATTACTGTTTGGCGCTATGCACTGACCCTAAAGAGGGGTAGATGTTAAGCCATTTTCAGTGGCTAGCTATACTAGCAGTTTTCGCGTGTTTTGATTGGCCCCTGTAACTTCCGAGGGTCTTATATCCAAGGAGGCTTAAAATCGGAATAGAAAATGAGTTTTTAAACACGCTATAGCGGTGCTGATCAAAATACAATTTGCATTTACTCAATCAATCAATCAATCAATCAATCAACTTTATTTAAACACGATAAATGGCTCAGCAAGCTGGTTTTCACACATGCCGTGTGATAATTACAATTTATAAAAATTAAGACTAGTGATTAACTAACAATACAATATAACAACAAGAAATAAGTATTAGAAATAAGATAAAAACATGATAAAAGTTATATCCTAAGATATGGCGAGTTTACTGGTTTTATATTAAGCTTCAAAACTTCATTGATAATAAATAGATTTCACAGGAAGCTTATAATTGGTGCGAGAGGGGGGCTTATATTCGAGGAGACGTATAATAGCATGTATAGAAAGATTGGTCTATAATTGGGGGCCTTATAAGGGGCGGGGGGGCAGTAGGGGCTTATAACCGGCTGTTACGGTATGTGAGTTTTTTTAGCCAGGCTCCTTAACCTAATGACAGACCGGGTTCAAGTATTATAAGAAGAGACCTCGTCTTTGGGCGTTCGAATTGCACGACTTAGTTGACTAGAAAATAGGAATGAAATGTATTAAAAAGTTTTATCCATTCTCATTTCTTGTTCTGCTATTTTAAGGCTGTTTTTTTTGTGTGCCCGATTTCAATAGAAAATATATGACGATGCAACAGATCATTTTAATGTATCCGATTTTTGACCAGTTTATATCTTTTCGTTTTTCTTTCGAAAAATCATAGCGTGAAAACCGCCTTAAAGCTCTCCAGTTACAAGAGCAAGTTTTCTTCAACAAGGAAAACTTTAGGGGCACCCAACGACTGTTTTCTGTAAAATATCTGTTCGGATTTTTTTTACTTCAGGGCGGCAAAAAATTTCTAGATGACCGTTCCATTCACGTACAATTTTCGAAGCTTATCTAACTTATAAATTCCCCACGATTTTCTGCTACAGCAAAAATAAAAACGAAGACGATGCACTCTCTTTTTGACTGACTCTAGATCGTAATAGCCGGGGAGGCTACTCAACACAGTTTTATATGGGGAGGCTTCGCCCCGAGGACTAACCCCTTAACCCTGCACTTACCATTTTTGACAGAAAACATACCCTTTTGTACACCTTCTATTGGCCGTATTTAAAATAGAGACGGATTATCCGCCTGAGACGGGTTCTCCGGTGGAAAGTTCGCGTCAGGCAGATAATCGTCTTATATGATTGCACTTTTAAGCCTTCGTCTTCAATTATGGGCCCATATCATGGCTGTAAACGAAAAAAATACATCCGAATATAATCCCCACCGGGTATAATAAACTCCCCTCTTGCATAAACTGAATTGAATTCGATTTACAATGACGTTTTGAAGCCTTAATTAACGAGCAGTAAATGCAAAAACATATATTTTGATCAGCAATGCTACAAGTTATTTCGAAGCGCTTTTTCTATGCCATCAATAAGCCCCCTCGGAAATGAAAAGCCCCTCCGTTTATACGCCTTCCTAAAACCAATTAAGAAGATGTACATGTATAATCCATGGTCTTATAAGCGACAATTTATGGTAAGGGACCATTCACATATCTGGTACCAACACAATGTCTTTTGTCATTTTCATGTAGCGTTTAATTTGATTCAATGAATTTTAACTTTAATTTTAATTTCAAAAGCTGTGACATTGCCAAATTTGAAAGTGATACGTCTTAAGCTTGCAAAGAGTTGCGAAAATTTACATACGTTTGTACGTGTGCGGGTGGGAGGGGGAGAGCAAGTTTGTGCCCGTCCCTTACCGTCAGCCAAACGCCTGTAAAATTTCCCGACTCTGAGGAGCTATATCTTCGTTAATTCGTTTTCAACAAATCACTTCCAAAACTTGGCAGTTTTACTCATTTTAAAACGTACTTTCCGGGGGTTTCCTTAGCTTGTCCTTGTCAAAAGTTGAAAAAAAAAAAAAATGGTATGGTCTATCCTGAAAGGGGTGCACTTCTGGGTTGCGCCTCCCAGTATAGGTCATTATAGGGGGCCCCCCAACCCCCCCCCCCCCCCCCCCCCTTTCAAGGTATAAGATGTGAGAGTTTAAAAATGGACACACTAACACTAGACACGTTAAGGCTTGTTTAGCTGGAGCTTAGTGGAGCCGCTACTTTTTCTGACCGTCAGTAGCATACCCAACTTGGACTGAAGGCAAATTCATGATTATTTTTGACGCACTAAAGAGGAAAGGCATGGGGTACAGTTAGAAACACAAAATCGTGATAGCATGCATAAAACTCTGTTGCTTTTGTAACAATTTATATTCTGCCATTTATTTTTGGAATGTTCATCTTTTGACCCTGTTTCAGTATCTTGAAGCCAGATTATAAACAAAGAATAAGAAGAGCCAACAAATCGCCATAAAAGGAAAAAGAAACAAGCAAAAACAAAGTAACAAACAATACACCGGAACAGAGGATTTACTGAAAATATTTTCTATAAAATGATGAGCACGTAGCACTGATTTCAGAAAACGCTGTGTTCTCGTTCAACTCTCACCGCCATGGTTCAGAATTTCGCTGTTTTCCTGATTCTTTCTCTTTTTGGCGGCTCACTGGGAACAACCACCTCACCTCAGCAACAAACTGACGCCTCAAAATTACAAGACTTATGCCAGGTAAGAAATGCATAAAGATGTAAAAAGGACTACTGCGCCCTAGATTAGGTACACCCAGAAAGCGTTTTATTACTCTCACGTCGTTATGATCATTTATTAAAAAGTACCCGTTAAAAGTTTATGACAGTTTATTTCAAAGTCCTCGCTTCAGCATGATCTTTCCTAGAAAACCTGAAGCCTGTCCATTGTTAATTGTTAATTTTCTCTGATTCCATCCACCATTCGAGACGAGATAACGATTTAAGAGGATTATGATATTCAAGGTTCATTCCGTGCCTTGAAAACAAGGGAGACGGCTGGCGGGTATAGACTTCGTCCATTTTGGTTCGGAATCATTGTTTGCGTGAGAGCCACAGGCGTGTATGAACGTATTTATCGTTTCAATTCCAAATGAGAAGGAAATATAAATAATTACGCGAATTATTTTTCGTTGCTATTCTAAATTAATCTAAGTAATTATGACATGCATAATTTCTTCGAGACAAGGTCTGAAAACTGGTATGGATTTTAGAGGCCAAGTCTGAAAACGGGTTTAAAAATGACGTGATTTGGTTTGAAATAGAGTCAGGATTTGGAGAACCGGGTGGCACACCACCACCGCCAAGAATTCCTATGAGTATCCCCCGTCTCGAGTTATCCAAGATCCCGTTTCGTCTTCGTCTCTGCTAAGTGCAGGTCATCTTTTTTCAACTTCAGCGATCTATGCTGGGTTTCCCTGGTATTCCTGGACCAAATGGTATACCGGGAGTGCCGGGAGTGCCGGGCGTCCCGGGGCCACACGGACCCCAGGGAAGAGAAGGTGTAAAAGGACAAATTGGTGATAAAGGATCAGATGGAATGCCGGGTCCAAGAGGAGACAGAGGACGCGAAGGATCCCCTGGGAAGAGTGGACCACGAGGAATTCAGGGAATGAAAGGAGAGCGCGGAGCTGTGGGAATTAAAGGAGAGCGAGGAATTGTGGGAAATCAAGGAAGAAAAGGAGAGAAAGGAGAAAGCGCCAAAGCAAGTCAAGCAAGTGTAGTACCACAAACCAACTGGAAACAATGTGCGTGGAAATCAGACAGCGGTACTGATAACGGAAAGATAAAGGTAATTAGAATAAGAATCATTAATAACACACTCCAAAAAAAATTTATTCCTTTCTTAATCAAAATTATTCAAAGAAGAACGTCTCCCCTCTTACTTACCGTTTGCCAACACATTACATAAAGAACTAACAAAAGTTACATCTCGCTCTACTTTGGTTCTTTTTGAAAGAAAGAAAGAAAGAAAGAAAGAAAGAAAGAAAAAACATCGTGCGTGTTAAAATGATTCCTGGCCATGTGGATAAGGACAACAACAATTGAAGTTATTACATAGTTTTTAAAAAATTAGGAAGTATTCTAGACTGGAGTAGTTAATATCAATCATTACACTTGGTTACTCGCCTTACTACAATATGTTTGATTTGTTTGATTTTATTCCAGGACTGTGCGTTTAACAAACTGCAGTCTAATTCAGCGCTCAGAGTCTCATTCCAGGGAAACATGAGGGTCCAAGGTACTAGTTCTAAGTGTAATCGCTGGTATTTCAAGTTCAATGGAAACGAATGCAGTGGACCAATGACGATTGAGGCTGCTGTTTACAACTACTGGCCATCTGGGAACCCTAATCTGCTGCATCATCGGTCATTTGAGGGGTACTGTGAAAACATCCCACAAGGCGCTGTTAGAGTGGAATTATGGGTAGGAAAGTGTAGTGGCTGGACCCTGGGTGATGCTTACACTGGGTGGAATTCAGTGTCCCGGATAATGATTGAAGAAGTTTCTAGGCCCCAGTCCTAATAAGGGGATTCTTGAACTTTGGCGCTGTTTTAATTTTCTTAGAATAGCATTCTACAAATATAGACTGTAAAGCGTAAGGTGCGAAAGTATTGTTTTTGGTTATTTTCTGTTTAGCCCTTTGTGGCTACCTTCGTCGTATTAGATTATTGATAGTAAACTCCAGGAGCCAAGGCTCCTGTAAACTCTTATAGCTGTATTAATATTTTGCACAATTATGCAAGCATGTTAGTCTCCTATTCATGCATCTTTATGCCGCAGCTCTTTGTTTTGTAACGCAGCGCTTTTTTAGCTTCTTTTTGGGGAGGCACCTTTCGCGACGACACAATAATGGGCTGAGCGCGTAGGGAATTGGTCCCTGAAGCACCGTTTTGTCTCGTCACGCAACGCTCTTTCCCGTGGCGTGAGGATACAAAAATTGCTGTGATGGAGAGCGATTGATTGGCAATGCTTTTTAAAGGTGATATGTTGTGGATGCAAAATATATCACTACCGCTTCAGGGGAACACCCATTCTCTCTTGGGTTACCATGAATATCACCAGATTGCCGTTCATTTCGTTAAGATTTTAAATTCATTAAAGCAAACATCCTGATATAATCTTTCATCTGAAAAAGAATATTTTAGAAATCTTTAATTAAATCGCGCCTTAAGCACGATTCCTTTTGTAGCTAAACACTTTGAGGCAAAACCTCAGAAACCTTTATTAAAATCGGATAAGAATTTTGAGGATTAAAATCTCACCTAGTAAAATTTATAAAAATTAGCTGAAAAGATAAAAATATGATAATATATAGGATAACTTGATTATCGGTAGCCTGCGTGGCAAGTTGTATGGATATACTCGGTCTTGGATACCCGTACATCAAGTGATAGGAAGTTAAGTTATGCCGGACCGTCGCAGTACGAACTTCGTCAAGGGAACAGTTTTCTTTTATTTAGCAAAACTTTTATTGCTTTGTAGGGTTTCATATACCATAAATTTCACGATTTTGTCTCTTCCTGTGTTTTTGATGGTTTCCTTTAAAAAAAAAAAATTACTGTTACTTTTATCATAGCCTGATACCAACATCGTCCTTGGAGAGCAATCTTTTCTACCATATCCTAACGGAAAAACTAGTCGAACTAATAAAAGGTTAGAATAGCAAGAAAGCAGTGCACCACGATAAAAGAGTACCAATGTATAATGAATGTAGACCCTGCACCGACCCATAGGAGCTCCTCTGATTTTATATCTCGGTCGGATGAAACAAAGTAGGATATAGTCACCTTTGCCCAATAAGGATACACCTAAAATAAAGAAAAGAGCTAATCATGGGCGTCAAACTACGTGACTTCTAAACCCAAGGCTTCTTTCAGTATAAACATACACGTACTACACGTAGATAGTGACCATCGCATGCAAACCAGCTTTTACAATACCAAAGAAGTATCATCGAATTTCGTTAGTCACCTAACCCAAGACTATAGTTTTATAATAAATGACTATAACAAGTAAATTAACTGTCCTAAATTGATAGAGAAAAATCAGTTTGCGTAAGTTATGTGCTTGATGACTTCTTCAGCTTTCAGCCTGAGAGATAAGTCAAGCTGAAAACAAAACTGAATCATTAATTTGGCCACATTTAATTTTCCGCAAGGATTAAGACGTTTGGTACCACTATACCTTTTGCAGAAAGGAAAAAAAAAAGACGCCATTTTATTTTGTTTCTTATAGTGAATAGGTACACAACTATCTATCGAAGAGGAGGTAAATAATGGTGGAGGTAAGATGCGACGCAAAGCGTCCTGGCTTTGTAGCGCTATGCACCGACCCTGAGGAGGAGCTAGTAGGTGTTTAGCCATTATTTTCAGTGATTAGCAATATTCGCATGGATTGATTGGCTCCCGTAAACTGGGAACATTCCTTAGCTATGCACTGTTTTAGGACGGGCGTCAAAATGGGCTGCCTTTTCGCGACAACCAGCATATACCAAGAAAGAGAGGAGAGTCGGTCTATTTTGTTTCTTGGTAATTAGACTTGATTTACAGTAACCTGACCGTACCCTGTTTAAGACAAAGATACATTATTTTATGACCCTAACTCATTTCGTTTCGCAAACAAAATTGAGCATTTTTTTTAAACGAACATCGGGTAATTCTAAAAAAGGATTATTCATAGCACAAAAGTAGGCCCAACTTTCGCACTCTTTAAAAGGCATCCGGTCCAAAAATTCACTTTGTTAACGACGCTAAATAGTGAATTAGTTGACCCTGTTTGATACTCACTGGCGAGACCTTAAAACCAACTTCCTGTTGTTTAGTGGCACGTAACCTTTTAGGCTAAAGAAGTAAGGGAATCCCCCCGGGTCTTCAACTGAATTTGAATTGGCCATTTTCCAAAGGGATGATAATTGGTTATTTATAAAAACGGGTGTAGTTTTGTATGCTTCTTGTTCTAGCCTGTAAAAAAGGTGTTATTTACTTATTTTTGTTTGTTTCTGATTTTTGCTTTTGCTCGTGGACAAAGGTAGGCAAGAGGCGATCATCTGAGGACGCTTCATTTTGAAGCAAAAAAGAGATCTGCTGACAAAAAAATTAGAAGACAAAAAGGCTTTTTGATTCGGATTATAAAGAAACATCCTCTGGTTTGCCGACATGTTTACTTATAATGAGATTATGTGACATTTTGTTTGTCCTAAGCCTTCGTAATGATCTTTCTTGTCTTGTGCCTTTAAATAAATTAGGAGTAGATTCGTTTTTTAGCAGATAATCGGTCTTGGCGATACTACCATCTGAAGTAACTTAATAAATTTAATTCTTGGGCGTTACTTAGCGAAATACGACTTGCCGAAGCCGAAGACCGAAGAAAAGAATTGACCTGTGAGACACTCCAACAAATGACTATATTTTGCCGTGATAATAGGGTTCAATAATTTTTTATCATTCTATATGCAGTCGAAGCTCTGCTCGCAACCTCTTCCGTAAGCTAGAGGCGACCATGCAGTTTACGGTAACCACCAGGTAACTCGAACTCTGAAGGGAAACCGCGAAAAGCAGTTCGAGTTAGAATGGGATTTGACCTATCAGGGTAAATTTCAGTAAAATTTTGATCAAGGGAAAGGAAATTTAGTTCGCGTTAGCGAAGAATTGTAGTCATCCGAATCAAAAATCGAGGTTATACTGACTGTATAAAATGAATGATTCTGGGTTAGAATGTATTACCAACCAGTGCACCCCTTAACAAGCAACATGCATAACTGAATAGTCTCTACGCATTTTGCGGTTAACCAGTCAGTGGAGATCCTGCTGAATACATTACATGGCAAGTACTTAAGCATTTGATCATATCTTTTAATGTTAAAATGCGCAATAAAAGTAATAAATATTATTTAGTACTTTTAAGTACCTTTAAAAAGATGAAGAAAACCTAGGGGGGATGAAGACGCGCCTGAAAGTGATACCACAAATTCAAGCGCCTTGCCCTTGACGCAGGTTTGGGAGATCAAGTGAGAAAAGGAGAAGTGGAGATACAACGTTCTGCATGTCGATATTATTCAGCATTTTAATAGTGAGCTTACTGCGCTTTTCGCAAACATGCGAATTCTGAAGTTCAAAAGCCGCCTTCACAATTCCGTTTTTGACTGCCGTCAATCATCTTAACGGACCTCTTAGGAAACATAACTTTACTTTAACGGGTTCAAAAAGGTCATGGTTTGTGATTTGTGATTAGTGAATTTCGATCCATTTCGTGTGTTTGTGTGTTTCAAGGCTCATTGCTTGTGATCGTAATTATGATTGACGGCAGCGAAAAACGCAGTTGTGAAGGCGGCTTTTGAACTTTAGAGTTCGCATGTTTGTGAAAAGCGCAGTAAAAGACGTTTTGAGCCGGACTCACGTCAACGGAAACTGCGCGTTTTGCATCCGCCGGCTTGGGCAGTATTCTGCCGAGCAGTATATATGATGCCCAAATTTTCGGGAAAGGCGTTCTATTAGGACTATTAGTAATAGAAATTTGACGTGCGTCGAACGCCTTTGCTTGAGCTCCCTATTAAAAGAAGAAACGAAGAGACAATGTTGAACCAAAATTAAAAAAAAGGAAAATGGACGGTCGGCACCAGGTCACAATACTAATGGGAATGGTTAGAAAGGATGTCAGAAACTTTGCATTGGCTGTAAAACAATGCTGAAGCAGGGACATTAATTAAAAGAACGTCTATTCGCGTTGGCCGTTTTGAAAAATAACGAGTAAAAAATACAAAATAATGGTAAGTCTTGTTTTAAGTTCACCATCGACCACAACTAACCAACAATGGTTTCTGCAACCACAATAACAATTTGCATTTCTAGCTTTTATCTAAAACCAAGGGTGTTATCACTCACGTTCAAAGTTTTGTTTTTATGAATTTTAAAAACAAACTTTTGCGTTGTTAGCTCTTTTTTTAAATTCGTCGTTTACACGTCGTTTTCTGTTCTCTAGTTTAGAATCAGTGGTTAAATGAAACGTAGTCTTTGTGTACACTACAGTTTTTGTCGTTCTGTTTACGCCCTAACGTTCTAGTAAACTATAAATGAACCGGTCGGCTGCTAAGACAGTCGTTGATTTTAGTTTCTTCTATTCTGATTTGATGTTCACAGTTTATCGGTTGGCTTCGGTTCATCCGATTAGTTCTTTAAAAGAATTAACGCAGTTTACTTGTTTCGCCAAAACAAGGAAGGATTAGGTATAATATATGTCGCAAAGATAAGACAGATCGATGTAAATGTCGCTGTTTAATTTTAATGAATCTGGGAATGCCAGCATCGATAATCAGAATGCCGTTTCTTTCTCTTTCTTTCTATTTCTTAAAAAAAGTTTCAATTTAACGAGAAGGCTAGCAAAAGTTTCATTCAAAGGTACTTCCCTTTGCCAGTTCAAATCACAACAACGAAGAAACCAATTAAAGATAAAAGAATCAGTATTGCCCAATCAGTTTTATCAGTTATAGTGACGTCAATATTTTCTGATTGGCTGACGTCTCTTCTATTGTTCTGTTCCCTATATATTTGCGATACCACCCGGATGGTTTGGGCGGATCAGTAAAACCAGCGCACCACAAACTTCTCTTACCAACACCTAAAGATAGCAAAATACAATCTCACGCTCAATCTCAAGAAGCAACCAGCATAGTTATTTATATTCAATGAGGCGCTTTCAAATCATTTTTAAATTACATCGTTATGCATATCCGATGCATGCTTACATCTGATTAACCCAGGTAGCATTGGGGTCTCACTCAAGGAAGTTGAATAAGTACATGGAAATTAAGGCACTGTTTCGATTGATTCAAGAGAATATTATTGGAGGCTAAGCAGGTCACTGAAGTGAAACAGAATGGGGCATATTTTGATTACGAAACCGGTGGCTTATAATTCATACATGTGAAAACAGGAACGAAGAATGAAAAGATACATTTATACTTATGAGATCGCTCTTAAAAGTTTGTTGTAGAGAATTGATCCTTTGATTTTCTCTCGGTCTTGATTAGCTTTACACCCCAGTTGTACTCGGTCAAAATAATAACTTAACCTCCAAAATTACTGAGAAAATGATCAACATTAATTGAGTCTGTAAGTTTTAAATGATTCAATCAGTGATCCTGGTAACAACCTCAGAAAAATTATAGAAACTGTTTACAGTTGTCATAGTGTTACGTCATCAAGGATAGTAATTTCAAGTTTGTGTTAAACTTCATCCAGAAAAGAAAAAAAAAACTTTCAAAGGTTTTTAAACTTCTCTTAATTAAACAGGGGCACCCAACGTCAATTTTCGGAAAATATCTGTTTGGAAGACTATTTGAGATCTAGAATTTTCGGAACATTTGTTGTAAAATTTCTCGCTTGCCTGCCCCTGTTAGGATTTTCGAACATCTAAAAAATGGTATAATTCCCCATTTTTAACGGATTTTCACCCTAAAAAGTCACCTAGAATTTTCGGGAGCTTTTATTCTGTCTGAAATTTTCGAAAAGGCAAGTTTTGATCCCTATAATTTTCAGATCACTATACTTTTAGGGAACAGATGAAAATTTTTAGTGGATAAAAAAGTGCCTGTATCTACTGTTTAATTACTAAAATACGGTCAACAATGCTATATGTTTAAGAGGTTTTAAACTATATTCTCAATGGGTGACCCTGATTAAACTCAAAAGGTTTCAAATGGTTCGCTCAGCGATCTTTAGAAAGCTAATGTAGGCTATCTACAGTTGTTATTTTCACAATAGAAAGAAAAGGAGGCAAAGAAGAGAAAGGAGAAAGCGCCAAAGTAAGTCAAGCAAGTGTTGTACTACAAACCAACTGGAAACAATGTGTGTGGAAATCAGGCAGCGGTACTGATAACGGAAAAATTAAGGTATACTTAAATGGGATAAGATCATGAATAACACACTCCAGAACAAAATTCATTCCTTTTCAAATAAAATATTCTCAAGAAGAACGTCCCCACTCTAATCTATGGAATTTTTCCAAAGTAATAACATTTGGCAACACATATCATAACATAGATTAAAATTAAATTGCATTTCACTTGACTTTGTTTCTTGGGGATAGAAAATAGGAAAGCCATCGTACATGAGTAAAATGATTCCTGACTATATGGATATGGGCAACAAAACTTTAACCTATTACCAAGTTTAAACTATAAAGTAATCTTGGCTACAACAACTGTTATCTACAAGAGAGGATAATGGGACAGTAGAGAAGGAAACCACCAGACCTGCCCTTGGGATATGTGAATTTCACCAAAGTTATTTTTAGACCGATTAGACCCTTAATAATAATAATAATAATAATAATAATAATAATAATAATAATAATAATAATAATGATAACAATAATAATAATAATAATAATAAATTTTATGTAACGAGGGTAACACGGGACAGTACTTTAACTGAATAACTAGTGACCCTCAAACTAAAACTATAAAACAAAAATTATGTGACCAAAAATACATATCGTTAAAGAAAAAGAACTATATATATATATATGAATAAGACCTAAAAAGAGTAAAGACCATATTACAATTATAAAATATCCTTACAATGAATATCTACAAACTATGATTACAATAAGAATACAACTAGGACAGGTCAAGCGAGAGGAAGGCTGTGAAATGCCGGATTAGCATAAAACTAACATAAAAATGAAGTTTCACTTAAGCTAAAATGATCAACGTCATTGTATCTCTTTAAAAAATCCGGAGCCTGGTCGCGGACACGCTCCTTATTTTTCCAAGAACCGCTATTCTCTGGGATAACTTCTTACACAGTTCCTCAACGTGTACATCAAAGGTTAAGTGTTTGTCAATAGTAACCCTAGGAGTTTCTGACCATCAACCTGTTCTATGTCAGAGTTATCAAGTTTGAGTTCCAGTGAACAATCATCAAGCTTGCATGGTATACGTTTCCCCGTAACAAGGAGACATTTCGTCTTCGAAGCGTTTGTAACCCTTTTTTTGGCAGTCGACCACCGTGAGACGTCATCTAGGTCCTGTTGAAGGGCTGATGACATGGCAGCAAGTCCATTAGTCACGTCTGATGATAAACTGAGAGTAGTGTCATCTGCATAGATGTCTACAGTAGAATGCTGTGCTGCCGATGGCAGATCGTTAATGAACAAGAGAAACAAAATGGGGCCCAAAATGCTCCCTTGCGGTACTCCGGACAACACAGTTCAAGGGAGGAATGACAGCCATTGATGTGTACATACTGTGTGCGTCCACTTAGATAACTGCGTAGTAAGTCCAGCTCGTTATCACGTACCCTATAGGCTTTCAATTTCTCTAAGAGCAGACCGTGGTCTATGAGGTAAAAAGCCTTTTTATAGTCAATAAACACAAGCCCCTATGCTCTGTTCCTGTCCAAGTCAAAGAGCAGCTGATCGACTAGGCGGATAAAAGGGCGGTCTCGGTAGAGTGGAATTTGCGAAAGCCAGACTGAAACCTATGTAGCAGAACATTTAAAAACGCTTGAAATTCATGGGAGGTTGGTCGTTGGCGGAGAAGTTCTCAATTTCATTCAATTTTAATGTCAAGAAAAAATAATGGAGCATTATATTCTCTTGATGTGTCGCCATTAAAATATTCTGCATTGTTTGCTTTGAGGCAGTCGCGTGTGAACTCGATGACGTTTCAAACAATAGATTGAGATATGCAGATTTTCCAGGAATCAGAGTTCCGTTTAGTTACAAACTCTAAAGATACATGTAACTTGAATGAGATTCATATATCCTATTCAACGCAATAAGATTCCTCAATTCTCTGTCCCATATTCTCTATTGACATCGTCATTACCATTTCCATCGACTCAGTAAAGCATGTTTGATCATATTCCAGGACTGAGCGTTTAACAAACAACATTCTAGCTCAGTACTCAGAGTTGCATTCTAGGAAAACATGAGGTTCTGGGATACTTATGCTCAAAAAAATCATAATCTGCGTTGTCATCGGTCATCTGAGGGGTACTGGGAAAACATCCCACAAGGCTCCGTTAGAGTGGAATTATCGGTAGGACAATGTTTTGGCGGTGATACCCTGGGTGATGCTAGCACCGGGTGGAATTCAGTGTCCTGGATAATGATTGAAGAAGTCTCTAGGCCCCACTCCTAATAAGGGACCGGAGTTTCGATTACTCTTGGACGCTGTTTCACTTTCTAAGAAGAACAACATGTACTGACAAATATAGAAAAATATAGAAAATGTAACATGTGTAAAGCACACGGTTCAGAGGTATTAAATGCATGAACTTTCTTTCTTTTTCTTTTTTTTTTATTTTTACTGTTACTTTTAATTTATCTAATTTGTACCGACTATTTACTGAATAGGATGTAGTAGATGGAATTTGATGAGTTTCTCAGTGGCTATAAACCTACCACCCCCACCCGCCCCACCCCTAACCCAAAAGACGTTTTTCATAACTACCGATAATTCTGACTGTATCGTACAGGAGTATCGTATTAAATGAACTTGGCTCTCATGTGGGTTGTCCTAGAGTTTTTTTTGGGTGCCTTGAGGAAATTTTTCCTTATGAATTACCACGACTGGCAGAATCTGCCGCGTCCAATATCTTCTCGTATTTCGTCTAATTTCGGGCTACACGGGTGAAAGACTGATCCCGGGCATGAGACGGAAAGATTGGATCTTGCGAGCTTTGTTTTTGGCAGTAACAAGTCTTTGGCCTCACAATGTAGGTTCTAGGGATGGAATTTATTCGGCGAGATAGAAATTGATGCTGATTTCTGACCAGGCCAAACTCTTAGTTAAAAAATGTTTTGAAGGCGGGGGCTCTATGTCTCCTTTTCAACCGCTGGTTTACATCCGGGATCTTGAATGTAAATCGACTGTATGAATCGAAGTTTCCATGCGACGATTTATGTAGAGAAAGCGAGAGTCTTACGGAGTAAGTTGACAAATGTTTCGCCCGTGTTAAGCGTAGACAAAATATCATGAGTGCCTCTCAGAAGTGTTGTGTTGCCGCAAAAGTCATGATTTACTGAAGGTGTTGACAGACAAAACTCAGGTATGGGGTTGAGCTAGTGTTACCAGAAAACTTCGTGCCAAGCATAAAAACGCCCTGTGAGTGTTTAGACGTGTAGGTGATTTTGTCTTAGAAAGCCTATTCTGTGCTCAAATATTGTGGATTTTAAATCTAGTGTTTTCGGCAGTGAATAGTTATGGGTCTCATGGTTTAACTGACTAAAAAGTAAGTACTTTCCCGACGTTTCCAATGTTGTTTACTTCATCGCAAAATCCTGCATGTTACTTCTGGGAGAGAAATTTACCGTCTGTAAATGTCAGCAATAAATTAAAGTTGTGATGTTGAGCTTTAGCTAGAAACTTTTCACTGTTGTCCATACGACTTAGATAATCAAATTGTTAAAATGCTGTAAGGAGAGATTTTCCATGAATTCTTTATTTGCCTCGAATATCACATATAGCTTTCAAATATTCGCTTTGACGTTGTTCTTAGTAATTCATATTGAATTTGCATAAATAAGTTTTAGCTCTGCAAAAGGGCTCGTGCCATTTTTATTATCCTTTGTTCCATTTGCTTTGTGTTCGCTAGGTAATAATCATAGAAAAGCCAACAGTGTTCCTTAACAAACAAAACTAATTGCTCGTTCTCTTTTCAGTTATATACATTTTACGTCAATGTTGACTCTTGAAAGAATACTTAATTTCTTAATAATGGCTTATTTGACTTCAGTCTATTTTTCGTGATTTAACTACCAGACGACACCTATTGATGGTAACGCCTTTGATACAGGTGTACCTCGTTCTAATTGCAACTTAGTTATATTTATTTGCGAAAATATATTTCATTAAATTGTTAGTTAAGGAGAGGTGATAACCGAATTTTGAATATGAAAGGTTTTTGCTGTCTTGTAATTTTAAGAATAGATCGGTTTTTGTTTAAGGTGAAAACTTCCAATTAGTCTGCGCTTTTCCTGTTTAAACAGCCGATAGCTGAACTTGCAATTTTATTCATATTGTAACGCTTTGTACATAAACGCTGTTTTGCTGACCTGGCTAGGTCTTTGTCTCAGTACTTTTACTTTCTAAAATAGCAACAGTAACAAAAGATTTCAGGTTAGAAATAGAAGTTGTATTTAGTTTTCATTTAACTCTAAGTGATTTCTGTTTATATTTCTATTGTATTCTTTTGTCTTCAATGGTTGTAAAAATCATATATAAGTAAGTTCGTTTTTACTGATTTTTCGATTACATTGCCGATTTCATCGCCGATTATTTCGCCGTGTCCTAGCCGAGTTATTGCTGTTTGATCCGCTGAAGAATAAACGCTGTTGGAACCAAGTTTAGTCTGTTTTATCTACTGCTGTACCAGTTAGTGGTCTGATCCCGGACCTCGAGAGAAGTGACGGCTCTTCCTCGCAAGCGAGTTGCCATTTGAGTCTAGTTTTCCCCAGTTTTATCGTGAGTCAAGCACCGAGTTCCCGTTGAGCCTTAAATTCGTTTCAAAGTGGAAAAACCTTCCGTCACAATGCACTTGAAATTTCTTTAGCCACGTTTTAGCAAGTTCAGTCAGTTCTACAAGGTTAAGAATAATATTTGTCCTCGACACATTGCTGACCTTTTCCAGAGGACAGACACCAAATATCCACTGAGGAACAATACCTTGATTAAATACGATTACACATGGCGGAAGGCTTCTATTACGTATATTGGCCCTAAGGTAAGGAACCTACTGCCTAAAAGGATCAGGGACCTTCCTAAACTATCTGTGTTCAAGCAGTATATTCGACAGCTTGACCTAAATTCCTTGCTTGCTGACGCTCAGTGCTGAAATTGCACTCTATGTAGTGCGTAATAAACAAACAACTATTTTTTTACGAAGCTCATACGCACTTGTAAACAGTTGTTGTTGTTTTTTTTTAATGTAGTAATAATATAATATACACATGTAATAATCTTATAAATTTTACACTTGGTCTCTGGTCAATAATGGTACACTTGTAAATAGTTTTATTAATTTGATTTGAATTGCTACAATAGTTGCTTACTTTTATTCAAAGTTTTCCCATTTAGTGTTCCCCTACTGCTATGTTAGTTTCACACCCAAATAAAGGTATTGATTGACTGATTGATTGATTGATTGATTGATTGGTTCATGATCCGCGGGTTTTTGGCCCGTGCTCATCTTTTAATTTCGTTTTGCTTTCAAAAAATCATAACGTCAAAAACCAGCCCTGCGGTTACACCTATACAAGAACAAGTTTTCTTCAACGAGGTAAACTACATTGCTGCTTAAGCTCCATTATGTTACGTGCTACTTGACTCACAATTTTAATTGTTATCGCACACGCGCGAGGAAGCTACAGCTCCTCTGACATAAATATCTCGCTACTGTTTTGCAGCAAGTATACGTTTCAAAAAGTAGGGTCACGTTCTGCAGCTAAAATAAGAACGAAAATGGGGAGTCCGCCCTGAGGACTAACCCCTTAACCATTTACACACCATTTTTGACATAAAAGCGGAGGTACCCTTTCGTATACCGTCTATTAGCCTGAACCAAAGCCGGCAAACACCGTGAACGCCGCATAAGCCCTCCTCTTCAGTTATGCATGGGCCCATATCATGGCTTTAAACGAAAAAAGTAGCTCCGAATATAAGCCCCATCGGGTATAATAAGCTCCCTTCTCGCTTGAACTGAATTGAATTCTATTTATAGCTTTAATTAACGACCAGTAAATGTAAAAACATCTGTTTTGATCAGCAATGCTACAGCTTATTTCGAAGCGCTTTTTCTATGTCATCTATAGGCCTTCTCGGATGTTAAATCCCCTCCGTTTATACGGGCCTTCCTAAAACCCCTGAAGAAGAAGTATAGCTGACAGTTTTATGGTAATAGTTTATAATGCTGAAGACGATCTGTTAAGAATGAGCAACATTTAAGAGGAGTGGAAATAACTCAATGTCTGTTGGTTCATAGCCGTAAAAAAACTGTTTACTTCTTGTTCTTGTTCTATTTTATTATTTTTGTGTGTGTGTGTGCGATCAATAATGTCATTAACGTCACAGTAGTAGAGGAAGGAGATATTTTTGTACCTCTCACACATATCTAGCACTAACAGAAAGTCGTCTTGTCGTTTTCATGTAGCGTTTAAATTCAATTTAAGTGTAGTTTCAGTGGCTATAAAATTGCCAAATTTGAAAGCGATACGTCTTAAGCGTGCAGAGATATAGCTCAGCAAAGTTCAGTGTGAAAATCTACAGACCTAAAGTTGTACGTGGTGGGGGAGGGAGACGGAGGGAGCAAGTTTGTGCCGGCCCCCATCATACAAATGTCTGTAAAATGTCGCAACTTTGGAGACTTATATCTTCGTCAGTTTTCAACAATCACTTTCAAAAATTGGCAATGTTACTCATTTTAAGGCGTCCTTTCCAGTGGTGCCAACTGTCGATATATTTTTCTTAACTTCTCAATATAAAAAGTAGACAGAAAGAAAGTAACGTGAAATAGTCTATACTGAATTGTAAGAGGTACCCTTTAGGGAAGCATTAGGGAAGCACCTCCCCGTATAGGTTTATATGGGGAGCCCCCCTCCCCAACTCACCCCCTTCCCCCTTCAATGTATAAGATATGGGGGTCTAAAAACAAACACACTGTCTAACACCAGACACGTTAAAGCTTGTTTAGCTGGAGCTTAATGGAGCCGCTACTTTTCCGACATTACATAGCCAACTTGGACTGAAGGCAAAGTACTATTTTTTGGCGCTCTAAATAGGAAAGGCATCGGGTACAGTTAGGAACACAAAGTCGTGATAGCATGCATAAAACTTTGTTGCTTTAAACAATTTATGTTCTGCCATTTATTTTTGGAATGTTCATCTTTTGACCCTGTTTCAGTACCCTGAAGCGAGCATAAACAGAGAATAAGAAGATGCAAAAAAATTGCCATAAAAGGAAAAAGAAACAAGCAAAAACAAACAAACAATATACCGGAACAGCTGAGTATTTACTTAAAATATTTGCTATAAAATGATGAGCACGTAGCGCTGATTTCAGTAAACGCTGTGTTCTCATTCTATTCTCACCGCCATGGTTCAGTATTTCGCTGTTTTTCTGATTCTCTATTTTTTGGGCGGCTCTCTGGGAACAATCACCTCACCTCAGCAACAAAACGCCTCAAAGTTAAAAGACTTATGCCAGGTAAGACATGCATAAAGATATAAAAAGGAGAACTTAGATTAGGTACACCCAGAAACCGGTTTATTATCCTCACGTCGTTATCATCATTTACTTAAAACTACCCGTTAAAAGTGTAAGGCAGTTTCTTTAAATGTCCTCGCTTCAGCATGATCTTTCCTCGGAGACCTTAAACCTGTCCATTGATTACTGTTAATTTTCTCTGATTCCATCCACGTCCATTCGAGGCGAGATAACACTTTAAAGAGGATTATGATATCCAAGGTCCATTCCGTGCCTCGAAAACAAGGACGACGGCCAACGGGTATAAACTTTGTCCACTTTGGTCTGAAATCATTATTTTCGAGTGAGCCTCTGGCGTGTATAAAAGTATTTATCGTTTCATTTCCAAATGAAAAGGAAAGAGAAATAATCATGCGAATTCTTTTTTGTTGCTGTTCTAAATTAATCTACTAAGTATAAATGATGAAATGCGTAATTTAAGCCGTAGAGACAAGGCCTGAAAACTGTTATGGATTTTACAGGCCAAGTCTGAAAACGGGTGTAAAAAATGACGTGTTTTGGTCTGAAATAGAGTCAGGATTTGGAGAACCGGGCGGCACACCCTGCCACTGAAGAATTCCCAGGAGTACCCCCCTCCCCTCCCGAGTTATTTAAGATCCCGTGTCGTCTTTGTCTCTGCTAATTACAAGGGATCGTTACTTTCAGCAATCTATGCTGAGTTTCCCTGGTATTCCAGGATCAAATGGTATACCGGGAATGCCGGGCGTCCCGGGGCTACACGGACCCCAGGGAAGGGAAAGTGCAAAAGGGCACATAACGCCGAGATAACGCTTTAAATAGGATTATGGTATCCAAGGTCCATTCCGTGCCTCGAAAACAGGGAAGATGGCTGGCGGGTATAGACTTTGTTCATTTTGGTCTGGAATCATTGTTTTAATTTGAGGAAAGTACGAGCGTGTATGAACGGAGTTACCCTTTCAATTCTAAATGAAAAGGAAAGAGGAATAATTATGCAAATTATTTTCCGTTGCTGTTCTAAATTCTTAGAGACAGAAATTCCCAGGACTACCCCTCTCCCCCCCCCGCCCCCCGCCCGAGTTATTAAAGATCCCGTGTAGTCTTTGTCTCTGCTAATTGCAAGTCATATTTTCTTTTATTTCAGCGATCTATGCTGGGTTTCCCTGGTATTCCAGGATCAAATGGTATACCGGGAGTGCCGGGCGTTCCAGGGCCACACGGACCCCAGGGAAGGGACGGTGTAAAAGGACAAATTGGTGATAAAGGATCGCAAGGAATTCCGGGTCCAAGAGGAAACAGAGGGCGCGAAGGACCTCCTGGGAAGAGTGGACCCCGAGGAATTAAGGGAATAAAAGGTCAACAAGGACTTCTGGGAATGAAAGGAGAGCAAGGAGCTGTGGGAATGAAGGGAGAGCGAGGCATTGTGGGAATGAAAGAAGAGCAAGGAGCTGTGGGAGTGGAAGGAGAGCGAGGCATTGTGGGAATGAAAGGAGAGCAAGGAGCTGTGGGAATGAAAGGAGAGCGAGGCATTGTGGGAATGAAAGGAAAGCGAGACGTTGTGGGAATGAAAGGAAGAAAAGGAGACAAAGGAGAGAAAGGAGAAAGCGTCAAAGCAAGTCAAGCAAGTGTAGTACCACAAACCAACTGGAAACAATGTGTCTGCAAATCACACAGCAATACTGATAACGGAAAGATTAAGGTAATTAGAATAAGAATCATAACACACTCCTAAGAAAATTTGTTCTTTTTTGAATTAAAATATTTCAAAGAAGAACGTCCCCCCTCTCATTCACCGTTTGCCAACACATTACATAAATAACTATTTAGTTACGTTTCCCTCAATTTTGGTTCTTTTTGAACGAAAAATGAAAAACCATTGTGCGTGATAAAATGATTCCTGGGCATATGGATAAAGACAAGAAAAATTTAAGCTATTACAGAGTTTTTAAAAATTAGGAAGTAGTCATGACTGGAGTTGTTAATATCAATCATTACACACGGTTGCTCGCCTTACTACAATATGTTTGATTTGTTTGCTTTTATTTCAGGACTGTGCGTTTAACAAACTACAGTCTAATTCAGCGCTGAGAGTCTCATTCCAGGGAAACATGGGGGTCTTTGGAAGTAGTGCTAAGTGTAACCGGTGGTATTTCAAGTTCAATGGAAATGAATGCAGTGGACCAATGGCGATTGAGGCTGCTGTTTACAACCACTGGCCATCTGGGACCCCTACTCTCCTGCGCCATCGGTCATTTGAGGGGTACTGTGAAAACATTCCACAAGGAGCTGTTAGAGTAGAATTATGGGTAGGACTGTGTAGTCGCCAAAACCTGGGTGATGCTGACACTGGGTGGAATTCAGTATCCCGGATAATGATTGAAGAAGTATCTAGGCCCCAGTCCTAATGAGGGGAGTCTTTAACTTCAGCGCTGTTTCAATTTCCTTAGAATAGCCAGGAGCCCATAACCCGGAGCGTTCAACTGCCATAAATTGGTGCAACGGCGCTTTTACAAGTGAGTTTATTTTTAGATAAGCTTTTCCCGCGAAAAATAACTGTTCCACGAGGTCAATTCCTTCATTTGATCGTCGTTTGGACTGTTTGTAGCTCGCTTGGACACTCGGCTATTTCGAAGATGATTTCCCTTCAATTCCCTTTGCGTGAATAAAGCGTTGTCGCCGATGAAGTAGACGTCCTGGCTAGGTTTTGCAAATCTTGTTCTGAACTGCTAGTTTCCGTTTAAATACTGAAATTGTCGTTTGAAGTACTGTCAGAAGACTCCTCTGAAGATTCCTCAAGTGTGTCCGCCATGTTTTTTTCAATGTGAAGGAGTTGTCCTAGTTACGTATTAAAAGTTTATCATTGATGAAGCAATTGCTAGTGATTGGCTTTTCGAAAGCAATTCGCGGGAAAGGCTTATCTAAAAATAGACCTACTTGTGAAAACGCCGTTGCATAGGCGCAGTATGGAAGTTAGACGCTCCGCGTTATGGGCTCCTGGAATAGCGTTCTACAAATATAGACTGTAAAGCGCAAGGTGCGAAAGTATTGTTTTTGGTTATTTTCTTTTTAGTCCTTTGTGGCTGCTTTCGTCGTATATCAGATTGTCAATGGTAAACTATAATAACAGTCTCAAGATTTTGTATTATTATGTCGGCATGTTAGTCCTGCGCAGCAGTTCTTTGTTTTGTCACGCAGTGCTTTTCTAGCTTTTTTGCGGGGAGGCACCTTTCGTGACGACACAATAACCGGCTGAGCCTGTAGGGGATTGGTCTCCGATGCAGCCGTTTTGTCTTGTTACGCACGCACCGCTACTTCTCGTTGCTTGACGACACAAAATGGCTGTGATTAAGGGCGATTGATTGGCAATACTGTTTGTGGGTGATCTGTTATGGATGCAAAATATATCACTACAGCTTCAGGGGAACCCATTCTCTCTCGGGTTACCATGCATACCATCAGATTGTCGGTTGTTTCCTAAGTCTATAATATGTAGTCAAAGTAAAGGCCGTGATATAATCTTTCATCTCAACGAAAAAAAAAAACTGCGGAAGAGGTAACCTTCGCATTTAAAATGTTTTCGTCTGGAAAATCCGGAAGTGGAAACGATTTAATTAAATCGTGCTTAATTAAATCAAAAGGCACGATTCCTTTTGTAGCCAAAGCGGTTCGAGGCAAGACCATTGTTAAAGGCGGATTAGATTTCGAGGATTAAAATCGCACCTTATAAAATTTATATGAATTATCTAGGAAGATGAATATGATGACAGAATAACTTGATTATCTCTAGCATAAGTGGCAAGCGTTCGAAAGGGAAGGGAAGGGAATTTAAGAGCGAGACCGCGCTCGAGGGAGAAGTGAGGAGAGGAACGCGTTCTCCTTCCTCATTCCTCGAGCGCCCTTCCCGCTTCTCACACACCCAAAATCTCCTTTTCCTTCCCTTTGGAACGCCTGGCACGCAGGCTAGATTATCTCTCAAATAGTGGAAAAATGGAATGCTTTTATTCGTAACATTGAGATTCTTGTCAAACCTTCGCATTACCTTAATAGCATCTTTGTTTTATTTCTTGCATGTCAGTTTAGTTTGCTTCAATGTGTCATGCATTAATTAATCAAAGCTTTCAATCATTGTTTCAATAAAAGACATTGTCTTACAGTATGTACAAAGCTTGTCCATTATTTTTCTTAACAAACGAGATTGAACTTCTTATGTCGGCTCCTTAACAGAGAAATTTCCGTACAGTCTCACAATATCGATCTATCCAATGCAGCTATTTACAGCCCCGTCTGTTCGAGTGTATTTATCAAGAAAGAAGTCCCCAGAGTTTCTTAACTTTGAAAATGAAAGGAGGGGGGGGGAGGGATCACAATCATTTGGATACCTAAATCATCAGTACCGTATGGGTATACCCAGTAGGGGATACCGTATGGGTATACCCGATAGGGGATACCGTATGGGCATTCCCGGTTCGATCCCGGTAGGGGATGCCCATACCGCAAGTTATATAAAGTTAAGTTATGCCGGACCGTCGCAGCACGAACTTCCGTCAAGAGTACAATTCCTTTTAATTAGCAAGGCTTTTATTGCTTTGAACGTTTTTATTCCAAAGTTTAACTACTTTATCCTTTTCTGTGTTTTTTATGGTTTCCTTGAAAATACTGACACTTTTGTCTTAGCCTGATAGCAACTGATCGCCCTTGGAGAGTTATCTTTTCTATCATCCTAACCTACGTTTCCTCGATGTTTCAGCCGAAGGTGAACTAATAAAAGGTTAGAATAGCGAAAAAAAAAAGGGTCAAGTGACTAAGTTGGGATCGCAAAAATTACATATTTGCCCAAAAGTGACTAAGATGGGGTCTATAATTGGCCACAAAATAGACTATAATGGGGTAGGGGCTCGGAGAGGCCAGTGGCACATACCCAACAAAAATTTACCCAAGTACCCAAGCCTTGTTTCAGCTCAGTGAAGGTCAGTCGCGACCCTGAAACTGAAGTCATAAAGCAATTTACTACAATGTAACCCCGTCAATGCGATCACCGTTGGGCTATAAAATCCTGATCGTAATAATGGGGTGGTCGCTTTAATGGGCGATTTTCAAAACAATAAAAAAAAGTCAGCGATTTCTACGTTTGTATGGAGAGAATATGATCTTCAACGAGGTGGTCGCATGGCGGGGCTCCACTATGTTGCTATTAAATCATAAAGCAAGTTACGTTTGTAAGCTTTTGTACTTTAAAATAATACATCAGTGTACATGCATTTGTGGTTGTGAGATTAGCGAGTTGAAAGCATGTCAGACAATAACGAATGGGTTTAACTTTTATAAAAAGAGAAACCAAAAGTCACTCGTCTTTGGGTGTTCGCATTGCACGACTTAGTTGAGTAGAATATAATAAAAGGTATAAAAAAGTTGTAATCCATTATCATTTGTTGTGCTGCTGTTTAAAGGCTGATTTAAGCGTAGCGGTTGTAAGCCCGATTTCCAAATAAAATATATGGTGATGCAACAGTTTATTTTAGTCTATCCGGTTTTTGGCCAGTTTTTATCTTTTCGTTTTTCTTTCGAAAAATCATAGTGTGAAAACCGGGTTAAAGCTCTCCAGTTACAAGAGCAAGTTCCTCCTTTCTCCCGCCATTGTTGCTTAAGCTCTATTATGTTACTTGCTGCTTGACTCACAATTTTGTTATCGCTCAGTGAGGACTGGCTGCCTCTAACATAAATAAATCGCTACTGTGCATGTTTTGCAGCAAGTATACGTTTCAAAAAGTAGGGTCACGTTCTCCATAATGTAACGTCTGCTACAGCAAAAATATGTACGAAGATGGGGAGGCCGCCCCTGAGGACTAACCCATTAACCCTTAACATATCATTTTCGACAGAAAAGCCGGGGTACCCTTTCGTATCCCGTCTATTGGCCTGAACCAATGTCGGCAAACACCGTAGAAGCCCCCCTCTCCAGTTATGGGCCCATATTATGCCGGTAAACGAAAAAAAAAATAAATCCGAATATAAGCCCCACCGGGTATAATTAGCTCCCCTCTTGCTTGAACTGAATTGAATTCGATTTATAATGACGTTTTGAAACCTTTATTAACGACCAGTAAATGCAAAAACATCTATTTTGATCAGCAATGCTACAACTTATTTCGAAGCGCGTTTTTCTATGCCATCAGTAAGCCCCCACGGGTATTAAAGCCCCCCCGTTTGAACGCTTTTGTATAAGGAACAGTTTATGGTAATAGTTTAATACTGAAGACGCTCTGTTAAGAATAAGCTACATTTAACAGGACTGGATGTAACTCGATGTCGATGAACTTTGTGCCCGGCACGAACCATACAAACGTCCTATAAAATTTCGCGCGACTTTGAGGAGCTCTATCTTGGCCACTTGTCAACAAATCACTTTCAAAGCTTGGCAATTTTACTAATTTTAAGGCATTTCTTTTCAGTGGTGCCAACTGCTTAACTTCTCCATATCAAAAGTTGACAAAAAGAAAAGAACGTGGAATAGTCTGTCCTGAATTGAAAGATGTACCCTGTTGGGGAACCTCCCCGTATAGGTTATTGTAGGGAACCCCCAACCCCCCTTCCCACCACTTCTCCAAGGTATAAGATATGAGTGTTTAAAAATAAACACACAGACATTAGACACGTTGAGGCTTGCTTAGTTGGAGCTTAATGGACCCGCCACTTTTTCTGATATAACAACGTAACATAGCCAACTTGGACTGAAGGCAAAGTATTATTTTTGGCGCTCTAAAGAGGAAAGGCATCGGGTACCGTTAGAAACGAAAAGTCGTGATAGCATGCATAAAACGTTGTTGCTTTTGTAACAATTTATGTTCTGTGATTCGATTTATTTTTGGAACGTTCATCTATTGACCCTGTTTCAGTACTCTGAAGAGGGCTTATAGGCAGGGAATAAGAAGATGCAAAAAAATTGCCATAAAAGGAAAAACAAACAAGCAAAAACAAGCAAACAATATACAGGAAAAGAGGTTTTACTTAAAATATTTGCTATAAAATGAATGAGCACGTAGCACTGATTTCAGAATACGCTCTGTTCTAGTTCTACTCTCATCGCCATGGTCCAGTATTTCGCTGTTTTCCTGATTCTCTCTTTCTTTGGCGGCTTACTGGGAACAACCACCTCACCTCAGCAACAAAACGATTCAAAGTTAAAAGACTTATGCCAGGTAAGAAATGCATAGAGATACAAAAAAAAAAACGAGAACCGCGCCGTACATTAGGTACACCCAGAAACTGTTTTACTAGTCTCATGTCGGTTATGATGATTTAGTAAATAGTACCCGTTAAAAGTGTATAGCAGTTTATTTAAATGTCCTCGCTTCAGCATGATCTTTCCTCGAAAACCTGATGCCTGTGCATTGTTAGCTGTTAATTTTCTCTGATTCCATCAAAGTCTACTCGAGGCGAGATAACACTTTAAATAGGATTATGATGTCCAAGGTCCATTCCGTACCTCGAAAACAATGGAGACGGCTGGCAGGTACAGACTTTGTTCATATTGGTGTGGAATCATTGTTTGCGAGGGAGCTACGGGCGTGTATGAACGTATTTATCGTTTCAATTCCAAATGAGAAGGAGAGAGAAATAATTATGCGAATTCTTTTTCGTTGCTGTTCTTAATCTAAGTAATGGTGACATGCATAATTTGTTAGAGGAAAGGTCTGAAAACTGGTATGAATTTTAGAGTCTGAAAACGAGTGTAAAAATGACGTGTCTGAAAAAGAGTCAGGATTTAGGGAACCGGGCGGCACATCTCCACCAAAAATTCCGAGGAGTACATTCCCCCCCACCCCCCTCCACGAGTCATCTATTATCGTCTCTGCTTATTGCAAGTCATCTTTACTTTCAGCGATCTATGATGGGTTTCCCTGGTATTCCAGGATCAAATGGGATACCGGGAGTGCCGGGCGTCCCGGGGCCACACGGACCCCAGGGAAGGGAAGGAGTAAAAGGACAAATTGGTGATAAAGGATCACAAGGAATGCCGGGTGCAAGAGGAGACAGAGGGCGCGAAGGACCCCCTGGGAAGAGTGGACCCCGAGGAATTAAGGGAATGAAAGGTCAACATGGACTTCCGGGAATGAAAGGAGTGCGCGGAGCCGTCGGAATAAAAGGAGAGCGAGGCATTGTAGGAAATCCAGGAAGAAAAGGAGACAAAGGAGAGAAAGGAGAAAGCGCCAAAGCAAGTCAAGCAAGTGTAGTAACACAAACCAACTGGAAACAATGTGTGTGGAAACGAGACACCAGTACTGATAAAGGAAAGATTAAGGTAATTAGAATAAGAATCATAACACACTCCAAACGAAAGTAATTCCTCTCTAAATCAAAATATTTCAAAGGCGAACGTCTACCTTCTCACTCACCATTTGCCAACACATAACATAAATAACTAAGTTACATTTCTCTCTACTTTGGTTCTTTTTGAACGAAAAAAGGGAAAACAATCTTGGGTGATAAAATGATTCCTGGCCATATGGATAAGGACAACGAAAATTGAAGTTATTACATAGTTTTTAAAAAATTAGAGAGTAATCTTGACTGGAGTTGTTAGCATCAATCATTACACACTGTTGATCGCCTTGCTACAATATGTTTGATTTGTTTGATTTTATTTTAGGACTGTGCGTTTAACAAACTGCAGTCTAATTCAGCGCTCAGAGTCTCATTCCAGGGAAACATGAGGGTCTATGGAAGTAGTGAGAAGTGTAACCGATGGTATTTCAAGTTCAATGGAAATGAATGCAGTGGACCAATGACGATTGAGGCTGTTGTTTACAACTGGTGGCCATCTGGGAGCCCTAATCTGCTGCATCATCGGTCATTTGCGGGGTACTGTGAAAACATCCCACAAGGCGCTGTTAGAGTGGAATTATGGGTAGGACAGTGTGGTCGCAGCTACACCTTGGGTGATGCTGAAACTGGGTGGAATTCAGTGTCCCGGATAATGATTGAAGAAGTATCTAGGTCCCAGTCCTAATAAGGGGAGACTGGAACTTTGGCGCTGTTTTAATTTCCTTAGAATAGCATTCTACAAATATAGACTGTAAAGCGCATGGTGCGAGAGTACTGTTTTTGGTTATTTTTTTTTATTTATTTATTTATCTTCTTTTTTGTCCTTTGTGGCTACTTTAGTCGTATTAGATTGTTAATAGTAAACTTCAGGAGCCTAGGATCCTGTAAACTCTTGCTTAAAACAGTATTAAAAATTTGTATAATTATGTAGGCATGTTAGTCTCCTATTCATGCACTTTTTTGCTGCAGTTCTTTGTTCTGACTCGCAGCGCTTCTCTATGTGGGGAGGCACCTTTCGTGACGACACAATAATCGGCTGAGCGCGTAGGGAATTGGTCCCTGATGCAGCCGTTTTGTCTTGTCACGCAACGTTCTTTCCCGTCGCGTGACGAGACAAAAATTGCAGTGATGGAGAGCGATTGATTGGCAATGCTTTTTAAAGGTGATATGTTGTGGATACAAAATATATCAATACAGCTTCAGGGGAACCCTTTCTCTCTTGGGTTACCATGGATACCACCAGATTGCCGTTCATTTCATTAAGTCTTTAAATTGATTATGCAGTCAAAGCAAACGTCGTGATATAATCTTTCATCTGAAAAAAAAATTGCTAAAGAGGTAATCTTCGCCATTAAAATATTTTAGAAAATCTTTAATTAAATCGCGCCTTAAACACGATTCCTTTTGTAGCTAAACACTTTGAGGCAAAACCTCAGAAACCTTTATAAAAATCGGATAAGAATTTTGAGGATTAAAATCTCACTTAGTAAAATGTATAACAATTAGCTGGAAAGATAAAAATATGATATAAATAGGATAACTTGATTATCACTAGCCTGCGTAGCAAGCGTTCGAGAGGGAAGGGAAGGGAATTGAGGCGCGAGACCGCGTGCGACTGAGAAGGGAAGGTAGGAGGGCTTTCCCTTTCCTCCTTCCTCGCGCGCCCTTCGTCCTTCTCACGCGCCCAAAATCCTCTTTCCCTTCCCTTTGGAATGCCTGTCAGGCAGGCTAGATTATCTCTCAAACAGTGGGAAAAAATGGAATGTTTGTACTCGTAACATTGAGATTCTTGTCAAACCTTCCCATTACTTTAATAGCATCTTTGTTATATTTCTTTCATGTCAGTGTGGTCTGCTTTAATGTGTGATTGAAGCTTTCAATAAAAGACAATGTCTTACTTAACAGTATGTACAGATCTTGTCTATTATTTGTGTTGCATGTCCTAACAACGAAAACTTAACTTAGAATCGCATAATTAAGTAAAATCTCGCATTCTGATTGGTTAACGAAGCGAGGTATTTAGTGTGGAATTGCGAGTTGAAAACGAGGCTAAGCGATATTGTTTCGCATCTACGTAACAACAACTATCGTCAAATTCTAACACAACAACATGCAAAAAAGGTTTTCTACAATGTCATTTTAAACTGTTTTCAAAACCATTCATTGTCACTTTTTGAAGAGTTAAAAACAAACAAAAGCGTTTTTTAAAGTGAGCCGGAGGTTCTTCCTTGTTTTGAACTGAACTACAGATTCTCGAAGAGACATAAAACCTCTTTCACTCGCGACAACCAGAAAACAAGAAAATCCTGTGAACACGGCCCAGAAAATGGCAATCCAAAGTTCAACCAAACAAAACGGAGAAGCGACAACGGAGGAAGTGCCGGGGTCGATTGTCCCATATACAGAAGAAGAAATAAATACCTTCAAAGAGGACATGGCCCCTGAAAACACGAAAAAGAGTACGCCGCTTGCAATCGTCCTGAATCGTGGTACTTATAAAAGTACAAAACAGAGCTGAACTTGAACAGCATTTCTAAAACATTTCAAGGTACTTACCTTATGTCAATCGCGACGTTAAACATGTTAAACTTTCAGTGCTTTCGCTTGGACACTTGATTTCTTTCAGTTTTGCCGCCGAAGAGGTAAAAGGTGTAAATTATTTTCCTTCTCGAACAAATGACCAATTTGAAAAAAGACGTTCTACATAAACGGCTTCTAAATTCAGTAAAATATCTGTATTTATCCTTACGATTAGTGTGAAGCTTGTTTACATGTAAAAAAGTTTGAAAACAAATGTGAAAACAAGCACAAGGTACAAAAAAAGTTGTCGAAGGTTCAAACGTGTACGACTGACCTTGCTTCCTATTCGCTAACGCAATGACAGTTCTGACAGTTGACTTTGAAATGGCTTTCTGGAGCGCGCGCTCAGGATAAAAACAAACAATATTATTGCTGTTTTCTTTTTTTTTCTTCTGATTTTTATTCAATTATGCGATTCAAGGAAAATTCATTACCTGACTCGAGAATTCCACGTTAAATTGCACTTGAAAACCGATATCGCACTCATCGCTTCGCGATTCGTGCGATATCGGTTTTCGCGTGCAATTTAACGTGGAATTCCCTCGTCAGGTAATGAATTTTCCTATAGTATGCCCGTACGGTCTCTCAATATCGATCTATCCAATGCAGCTATTTGCATACTTTCCTGTTGGAGTGCGTTTATGAACAAAGACCTAACCTACCGAGTTCCCAGGGTTTCTTTCCTTACAAAATAGGAGGCGCGGTGGGGGGGTGGTCCAGGGGGCGTCACAATCATGGGAACTTTAATCACCCCTGCAGTGCTGTATGGGTCAGTTTTCCTTTTTGTTAGTTCAATAACGACACAGCAGTTCAATAAATACACAACAGATCAATAACCACACCAGTAGTTCAGCGTAAACTACATGCAGCTGCGGGAAGAATACCCTTTCGGCGCTGACTCTCTTTCCAGGTCTGTTCACTGTGCCCCTGACGAGAATGACAGACCTTCTGAGCGGACTAAAAATTTTAAAGTAACATCAGTCTATGTTCCCGTCTATATTAGTGAGCTGACTAGAACTTAATAGCAGTGTAACATAGCTATTTATCTATTTAGTTCTCGTACCATAGCTAAATGAGTATTTACCACTTACTTAATGCTATGCATTCTTATTAAAAAAATAACTAACGTATTTGTGGCTATTCTTCCCGCAGCTGCATGTAGTTTACGCTCAATGAACTGATGTGTAGTCATTGAACTACTGGTGTGGTTATTGATCTGTTGTGTACTTATTGAACTGCTGTGTCGTTATTGAACTAACAAAAAGGAAAACTGAGCTATTGAATCCATATACTGGGCTATTCTGGTATATGGCAACCATGTCTTTCCCTTAAACTGCGCGCTGTGCGCCAGATCTGTCAGCTTGTTCACGGCTGCAGAGGGTCATTGCACTCGTGCGACAGGCATCCTTTTGGTTGCTTGTAAAATAAGATAGGGATGTTTATGGGCGGGGTATCATGGTTGTAAAACCCCGTCATAACTCATTATTATTGTTATTTAAATAATTGTTTGTGTGTTTGTATGTCACCTTTATCACATTTATTTATTTATGTATTTTTTTGCCTTAGCCCATAATGGAAATGGTTAACTAAAACAATGCTGTACGTTTTTTAAAGACAGAGACTTTATGTAATTTAATTCTATCTTCTTTGGAATACGAAAACCGAACTAGTGAGAAAAAGGCCTCACTTGGACACTAGGATTACTGTGACGTAACTCCTTCAAGTTGCGCGCGAAAGTTCACGGCGGTTGCAGGTTAACATTTGAAGAAATTGCGCGTGATATGAAATGACGTAAGCCATCGAGTGAAGAAAACAAAGTGCAATCATCCTACCAGTTGTTTTTATTCAAGCTGCCGTGAGTTAGACGCATTTGAAACTTTATTTCTAATTCGTTTTGGAAAGAAAACTGTTGGTACCTTGCTGAGGCATCGCCTGCAATTGTTATGATCTCTTATATTTGCACAGACATTATTATATCGAAAGCAGATTTTTGAAATATGGTCAGGAAAAGCTGCCTTTCAAGTTTGAAACAGCCAAGAAAGTTGGAAGTTCAGGACTTGTACGGTAAAAATAACTATTTTTAAACATAGATTGATGGTAGTCAACTCAAGTACGTAGGGCCAGCTGTGGTACCACGGTTTGAAACGTGCGGAAAGAGAGTCAAAAAACAAGATTTCATCCACGGTTGACTGTTATTTTTTTTCTGCTTTATTAACGCGCGCGTTGTCGGGTTATTTAGTTGAAGTTTTCTCCGGACCAAGTTGGCTTTACCCTTTCGGCGCTGACTCTCTTTCCAGTTCTGTTCACTGTGCCCCTGATGAGAATGACAGACCTTCTGAGCGGACTAAAATTTTTTAAAATAACATCAGTCTATGTTCCCGTCTATATTAGTGAGCTCACTAGAACTTAATAACAGTGTAACATAGCTATTTATCTATTTAGTTCTCGTACCATAGCTAAGTGAGTATTTACCACTTACTTAATGCTATGCATTCTTATTAAAAAATAACTAACGTATTTGTGGCTATTCTTCCCGCAGCTGCATGTAGTTTACGCTCAATGAACTGATGTGTAGTCATTGAACTACTGGTGTGGTTATTGATCTGTTGTGTACTTATTGAACTGCTGTGTCGTTATTGAACTAACAAAAAGGAAAGCTAGCCTGCGTGGCAAGCTGTATGGGTATATCCGGTCTTGGATACCCATACATCAAGTGATAGGAAGTTAAGTTATGCCGGACCGTCGCAGTACGGAACTTCGTCAACAGCACAGTTTTCTTATATTTAGCAAGGCTTTTATTGCTTTGCAGGTTTTTATATGCCATAAATTTCACGACTTTATAGTTTTCTGTGTTTTTGATGGTTTTCTTAAAAAAAATACTGTTACTTTTATCTTAGCCTGATACCAACATCGCCCTTGGAGAGCAATCTTTTCTACCATATTCTAATGGAAAAAAAAAAAACAACAACAACAACAACAACAACGTTTCCTTTGTGTTTTATCCGGAGTGGAACCAATAACAGGTTAGAATAGCCAGAAAGCAGTGCACCATGACAAAAGAGCTCCAATGTATAATATAATTGTCGACCCTGCACCGACCCATAG